CGATGGTGTTCTCTGGCTTCTCTCCTGTTCCGCTGCGCTGTTTAGAGGGCTTCTCGAAGGAAGAGGTAAAATTTTAGAGCAGACCGCAAGTGGGAACATGCTGTCTCTACCATTATGCTGCCTTATGCAATAATATGTAGTAATATGCTGTTTTTGTAGTAGAGATGGGTAAGAAGGAGGTAGTAATGGTCCGTTTCTATGGATACATGAAGGAAACAGCCGCATGCTTCTGGTAAAGTATAGTTGGCTAAGTACAACTGAGAAACTATCGAAAATACATTGATTATTATGGTTAACTATGAGAAGTCTGTATGAAAGCGATCTTACGTTGGATGTGAGTTCTTTGGATCTACCTTTGCTTCCTCCATAAGTTTCCTAGCTTTGTAGTTCCTCTTTTGTTCTGACTTTTTTGGTCGTCCTCTTCCTCTCTTCTTCTTCTCACCTGCGGAAGGAATCCTATTGGAACCATATGTGATCCTCTGCCTCTTCTTAGAGATCTTTTTGATCGCCAACACAGTATCGTGATGGCCTCTTAACGCTTCAATCGCCTTCAGTAGTAATCCTTTGTTGAATGTATGCACTGCTGACCTGGAACTTTGAGACGCTGTCTTCCGTATCATACATCTATTGGCCTTTGAAAAACAGCTCTGATATCTGAATATTGGTGGGATGTAATTGTAGCGCCTCTTTCCGTTCTCCTTTCTACTATCTTCATAGATAATATGCTTGGCAAGTTGAGGCATTGATGGGATAAGGGCATGACCGTTGAGAACCCTTCTCATCTTCACACAAGTGATATGTGGACATTCGAAGAATGTATACGCTTGATTGCGACAATGGGAACAACTGTACGTAGACTTTACTTCCTCTCCGCCCTCCTTTGAGATGGTGCATCGCTTTTCAGTAACAACGGCTGTTCTGGCTCGCAATTGATCATAAATATAAGCACGAAAGTTGACAAACGAATCACGTCTTCTCATCTTCTTCGCATAAACTCGCAACACCTTTAAAAGATTCTCAACAGACAAACCACAGTCCCACCATACACTATGCTCGTGTGTCTTCATTTGAGTTCCAGGTGAACTCTCATCAACGGTTACATTAGTCTCTTTGCTATTTAAACAACAAGAAGTGATAATGGTTGTCGAGTACAAGAAATAGCCATGGTTTGTGAGTATCTCGGTATATTCTGGTTCTTCCTCTTCATCAGAAAAGTCGCTGGCATCATCTGAGTCGCTCCCATCATCCAAATCGCTGGCATCATTCATTTCATCATCATATTGAGGCATCTGTCTCACTGTATTCCAATCAAAGGTCATGGACTCTGTGATTTTCACCTTCTCACACTGCATCGACAGCACTTCGACAATGAGATTGGTTGGGTTCAATCGCCTAAACGCAAACATCTCTGCATTCAAAATCTCACAATGATTGGATGTCATGATATCAAACCTTGGAGTTACCGAATTGTAAAGTTGAAGACCTCTAGCACAGTCTTGGGTGTTGGTGATAAGATTATAGGTACTGTTAACTTTCTCCCTCTTATGCCTCTCAAAGAAACCCCCCTTCATAGCTTCTTGGATTAGTGGAACCTTTGCGGGATCAGATTCAAATATCAACCGGAAAAAGTTATGTTGCATAGCACTTCTATGCTTTGCAATTGTGTACTTGAAGAGGTTTCTTTCGACGTGTTTGGAGCATGCAAAGCTCTCAATCGGAACACCACACCGGGTTCTCAACATATCCAAGGCCTTCTTGATACCCTTATCCTGATCTGATATGATTTGTAATGGGGGAATGCTCTCCTCAGTGATACTATCATTGTGTAATTGTATAGATTCTCGTAACTTCTTCCAATGCGATCCACCATTCTTCTTGAAGAATGTGTATAGGAAGGTGAACCATTCTAATCCACACTCTGCATTCTTTGAAAGCATCATACCCAGGGGAACAAGTCCCTTGGACCCAGCCTGGCCAACAATAGTGTATAATGTAAGAAAGTTCTCTTTGTATCCCTGACTATTGTACAAAGACAAATGGCAAGCATCTACTGTGAGTGTTGGTACTAAGCTTTCGTAGAACTGGTCATCAATGGCGTTGGAGAAATAGATGCACTTGATTTCATCCTGTGGATGTGATATTAAATCGAGTGCTGAAGAAGTCAACTCTGAGGACTTTACAGCAGCTTTCAACGTCTTTTTTGCTTCATCAGGATTGAAATTTAGCCTCTTGTCACCCGCCTGTGCAGGCCTCTTCTTTTTAGAAAGAACTGTCAGGTTGTTCAGCACTAACTTTTCATCCTGAGAATCGGCTGCAGGACCATCTTCGGGGTGATCACTATTGGCGTCTTCCAATTGTTGTAAAAACTCGTCCTGTGCCTTTTCCCATTCAACATTTGTATCACTAACACTCGGTCCATCTGCATCTGTTGTTGAAGCACAGTCACTCTCTGCTTCTCGCTGATGTCCATCTCCTCTCCAGTCAGAAACTATTCTGGAGAGCTCAGTCGCATCCTCCTTGCTTAGGATGTTGTCAATATACCTGTTATCCTGTAGAAGTAATGCTATCTCAAAGTGCTTCAAGCCCTGTAGAAGGTCTTCAGTTTCTTGATTGTCTTGTACAACATCATCAGCTGCCTTGTTATTGCTCTTACCATCATCTGTATGTGAAGTTGAGAGCGCAGTCAATAACAACTGTATCATGTATTCTCCATTCGCCGTTCTATCTGTGAATTTGGAGAACGATGTCCCCGACAAGGCTCTTTTTAGAGAGTCATACATTTGAGCATCTAGTGGTTTGGTGGTCGATTCAAATCGAACCTGGCATATATCTTCTATTTCCTCCTCTGACCTGGTGTAAATGTTGTTCAAGATGAGATGAGTCGCTGTGAGTGTGAATTTTCTCTGATATGAAACATCTTCAGAAGGCCTAGATACCTTCAGAGTTGTTTCATCTGCGTCTTGAAGCCATTCAAATATCGCTCTACCAACGTTGGAAAGTGAATGGGATTTTATCTTTGAATAGAGCAGATAGTCTTTGAGACAACCGAAACTATCGATCTCTACTCCATCTTTGTCTTCACCAAAATATCCATCATACCTCAGCAGTTCAACAACTCTCTCTAATTGAGGACCCCTAAGCTCTTGTCTTTGAGCAGTGTTTCTGGAAAGTGCCAGATTGGTCAACCTTGGAATCTGACAACAATGTCCCTGTTTGATATCACCTACTGAGCATTGTATGTCATAATCTAAGACCTTGCTATAACAAAATGAACACCGTGCCATATACCTATTGTTTGGTCTTTGTACAAGGGATACAAAGATACCAAGCTCCAGTAGACAGTATATGTGAATAGCTTGTTGTAATATGTGCAAAGACGATAACCTCTCCTCCACAACGATGCCTTTTGTCTGCCTTCTCTCGATTCCTTCATTAATGAGAGACTTTGCGGTACCCAAAAGAAAGCTTTTCAAACTTGTTCTACCTCCATGCAAAGAAGAGTCAAAAGTTGACTGTGGCAGAGAAATAGTGTCCTCATTAGATGATGGTTTATCTGCGACGCTTGTCTCGTTTGCCTCAGAATCCTCAATATCCGGCACGGTTTGAGTTTGTACTTCAGCACTAAAATCAACACCTTGATACCAAGAAGTATCTGACATCATGTCCTGATGACACATGTTGAACTCGACAAAGCGTCTTCTCAAATCACTTATTACATTTCCCATTTTGAAAGAAAAGCTGATCTCAAGAAGGGTGAGGACCTCGATACACGCTTGGAAATGATGTTTGCATTGGTCGAGCTGTTCCTTTAGGAGCGCTTTCTCTGCCACCGGTGAAGCTGATATTTTCTTCTTCACAGAAGCTAGCATATCAACCATCCAAGGAGATAGAGACATAACGACGTCTGGGTCTGGTAGAGACATTATGGTTGCCAATGATCTGTATTAACCACACGTATCTGATGTTTTGTCTATGGATTTGTTTACAATCTCTGTTGGAATTTGTTCGCGTTTGTGTTGTTGTTTTGACCATGAGGTATGGATGTGGTGTGTGGGTGAAAGGACTTGGGACTACAGAGGCCTACGATGTCTCTCTTTATTTGCACCAAATTAGCAGGGTAAAGAGTTTAGAGACCTAAAGCTTTTTAAGCCTCTAATAGCTCCATCAGCGAATTCTAAAGAGAGAATGAGTATCATATATCTATTCCTGTTTTTTTGAAATATTTATGTTTCAGTTCATATTTTAGATCAATCTATCTCTGTTCATTTTCTTGCATTATTCTTGCATTATTTGTGCGTTACTCTTGTTAATTCATGATAAAACTGTTTCTTCTTCACCAAAATTTACCATGGGACTTGGTTATATACCCTAAAAATTCCATATTAATAAAATTCAATATTCCTGGATTTCCAAACACTCTATTGTAATTACTCTTGCAAATTCTTTTGCCTTGAAATTTTGTACTACATTTCTTGCTGTTTTTCGGGAACCTCAAGCGCGATGTTGGTAATGCTGGTAGCGCTTGAAATGTCTCAACCTTTTGTCTCGACCGTGGAAAAGAGGTATCTAATACTCTCCATACAAGCAGTGTAGTAACTTGAAAATGATATTAAATCACACTATATGGAATATATGACCTTGGTAGATATATTCCAGTTGCTTTTGAGTACTCTTTGTTGTTGTGGGTTCTCACAAGTTGAGACGCAGGACGACCAACACATACAAACTCATAACATTTCATCAATATACAAGATTTGGGGGCTATAAGTGGAACATAATGAGAGGTGTCAATAATATTTCTCATGATATAGCTTCTTGTGGTCGAAATGAGGCATGGTATGTACTGTCATTGTTTTTGGATCAAAGCATCGGTGACTTAATATCTGCCTGGCAGAAGTCCTTGGAAAAAGGTGCCATTGAGCAGGGCATCGCAAATTGAAGATTCTCTAAAGAGATACTTCTGATACGTACCGTACACAGAACAGTGATACAGTCTATATAATCGATTGTGAACCCCTTGGTGTTTTGATTATTGTAGAGTACAAACATCTTGTTTTTATATTGGGGGGGGGGAGCAGTAGAACAGAAGGGAAGTAAACAGAGTAAGACCAGAAACTTCAGTGTATATTAAAGCGTCTACTGTCTTATGTTGATCATATACTTAATATAGATAGTACAAGTCCATTATTATCCCGGCTACCATGGCCCAAACTTATAGACAATGGTCATTAGTGCTTTTAAGAGTTCATTCATTTTACTCTGGTTTCTGCGCGCCAGAAATTCCGTCATTTTTGTTGCTTCATTTTCCCTTGACCTATTCACCAGGGAATGAGAAGGATTCAGCTCAGCTCAGCGAAAAGTAACTCTTTGAAAAGTCTAGAATTCTAATTATCAGTTCGAACAAGTGATCTCAAGACCTGTCGGTTATCCTCAAGTGAGCTTGAGCTATGCGGACTGTCTGCTTTGACTTGAAGCTATAGTACTATACAATGAAAGTGGAAGTCCTTCCTCAACAGGTGTAGTGAAATGTACTCTTCGTCGTGCGGTTTAAGTGCGCACTTCATTGATGTATCTCTTAGATATTCCAGTGAATATACTGGATTTCAAGCGTCAGGGTGTAGCTGTTAAGCACTAAGTGTGTATGGCGTCTACAGGTCATGAAGACTTGGTTTGTTCAACCAGATATATTCACTAGATTAGTCTAGTTGTGCCGAACATTTAAAACGTATCAAAGATATACCAATCACATTTGACACTGATCCCCCTCATACCTCAAGAAAAGTACTGAATTGTACGATAGTCTTGCGTATAATGAATGTACAAACAGCTGGCTGAGCGTGAGCTGTCCGCTTTTATGTTAAGGGCCTCTCACAGTGTCGATACACCCTATGCTAGATTTTATAAGTCATTTAGACGATATAAACTCTGATGTATTTTCAAACCAGCTCGATCCGAATGACAGTTTAAATTACGACTGTGGGGCCATTTGTAAACATTGCTTATCAAATCTACAAACTCAGAATTGAAATTGGTCGTGAGAGTACAATCTCTCGAAGCCAATTCTTTTCAAGAGAAAAGGCTTTGAAATCGTCTCGATTTGCACATTTTTTAGCTCTATTTAACCCATTTCTACTCTAAAATCCCCCAAATTTCTCTTAGCTACGCTAAGGTTAAACACAATGGCTTATAGATCCCAAAGACTCCATACTCGGGAACAGCGCGAGCTACCTGAGTAGTTTTCGATGGTCAAAATACTGTGGTAGCTCGTTCTGGTGCGATGTCGCGCCGCGGGTCATAAAAACTCCGGTCATGAGCCCGCCACCTATGGACACCCAATGTACAGTTCAACAACGTATATCTCAACCACCAGAAGGGCTATTGAGATAAAAAGTTGACAGTAATGATCACACATATTCTATATCCTATAGACACCCCTTCAAAGCTCTTTTGGGCGCCCAATACAGTGTGTTAAATTTTCGTACTTCGTTTTCAAAACAGTGTGGCTTTATCAAAATTACAGAAGAGTCATATCTTAAGCTAGCTCCACCAATAATGATGATCAGAACACGTGAATTACACCATTAGATAGAGCGAACATCTGTCTATCTATTCATTGAATTTAATGTTTTGTTTATTCTATCACCATTTAATATTTATATGCATCATGCACGGTGTGTATGTATGGGTTAAACACTCATACATAGCCTATGCTCCAGAAAAAGTAGCAGCCTCCAGGAGAGTGGCGCTCATAAAAATTTTGTAAGCGTTTTTTCCCACACCTA